TCCTTCTTTATGAGAAGGGGATATAATTGCTGGAGTGTGTTTCCCAGGGGTTCTCTCTGTGTTGGTATGGCATTATCAATTGGAAGATGTTTGTTATAGTTGTGGATGTATATTTTTCTCTCTCGTTTAAATTGCGAAGTTTCTATCCAATTTTTTTCCTTTTTTTTTGCACTGTTAATTGCATCAAACTCAGGATATTAACACATGATTGTTTTTTTTTTTTTTTTTTTTTTTATCCTTATTAATTGATGTGTTTTTTTTTCTTGTGTCTTTTATAGAAGGTCCTCTTTTTTTTTTTTATCCCTCCTTTTGAGTACTTGCTAATAACAAATAAATTGGAAACGAAGTTAAACTAACGCAAATCGAAAACAACAACAAAAAAAAAAAAACACTAAACAACATATATATATATATATATATATATATATATATATATATATATATAGAACACTCTATATGCAGAATCTAGCGTATCAAACTATACGTGGTGGTGGATGGGGAAAACGAGCTTCACGTATTGTTATCGCTCATGGACTTTTAGGCAATAGCGCTAATTGGAAGTCAACCGCGAATCATTTGGCAAAGAATAACTTAATACATTCAAAGTTACACGAAATTAACGTGCTCGATATGCGCAATCATGGTGGAAGTCCACATGTAGAGAAACATACAAATGCATCTATGGCTGCTGATCTTGAGTTATTCACTTTATTACGACAACAGAATAAAGAGAATAATAATAATGATGGTGTGGTGTTGATAGGCCACAGTATGGGTGGATTGGCGGTAATGGCCACTTTGCTTTCTCGCGCTAATGAGAGTGCGTTGCTTTTGCCTAGTAGTGAAGAGTTCAAGGCACGCTGTGAACGTGGTGATTATTACGGTTGGAAAGATGAACAAGGATATGGAGAAGAGATGCGTCTTGTCAATAGTATAATGGGCTTCCCTGTTCAAAAACCACTACGAGATGTTATTTATGAGTACAAGGATACTCCTAATTCATTATCATATAATCAACAAGAAGAACAAAAAGAAAGAGGTCCACGTGTGAAGGCAGCAATCATTGTAGACATAACACCCTCCACTATGCTTGGAGAACAGACGGAGGAGTCAAAGAGTGTCTCTGCAACTCTTGACGCTATGGCAGCAGTGGATCTGAGAAAAGTGCGAAACTTCACTGATTGCGCCGCAGCACTTGAACGTGCAGGTGTGATTGAAAAGAGTATGCGTGATTTTGTTTTGACAAATTTATCTTTGAATACAGGTACTGGAGAGGCCAAATGGCGCTGTAATCTCCCAGTACTGCGTGCAGACTATCAAAAAATCGCACTGGGTTTACGAGATTGGTTCCTGAATGCCGAGGAGGAAAAAAATGATTACAGTAAGAACGATAAGAATGATGATAAGGTAACTCCAGTTCGGTGTTCACTACCGACACTTTTTGTTTTTGGTGAAAAATCACCCTACAATAATCCTTCAGACCGTCGTTTAATTGATTGTTTTTTCTCTAATAATAAACAGATTGAGATTGCAGGTGCTGGTCATTTTGTTCATTATGAAAAGATGAAGGATTTTGTTGAGGCTGTTGCACCTTTTCTTGCAGAGCAATTGTAGCGCATAATTTGGTAAAAGTGCTTTTTTTTTAATGTTAAGATCAAAACCAAAAGAGTGTGTACCCGTCTGTTTTTTTTTTTTTT